GATGCATGGATGCTAATCCAGATAAACGTCCAACTGCTAATGAAATTTATAAGACTATTGAAATTTGGTATGACTCAATTATATATCATTATGAGCCAGTATCAATTAGAAAAGAGTTTGAGAAAATGGATGGAATAAAATTTGATCCTTCAACAATTACTGCAGCAATTCATCCAAATGCAGTTTACACAAGCAGATTATTAAAATTTACAAACCTTCCCCAACCTGTGAATTCCAATAAAGTAACAATTATTGGTAACAACAATGGTAGTTATTAACATTTATCATTGATTATTTTTGTTTTTATTAATTTTAAAATTAACAAAATTTATTAATACCCACTCTTGTGATAAATATTTTGTAGATTCTAAACAAATTGAATTAGCTGTTTTTGTAGATTCTAAACAGGTTGAATTAACTATACCAGATGAATTACCTGAATAAGTTAAATCTTGTTATTATATTATTATATTGAGTAATGATATTATATGAAGGTAATAACTTTTCACAATTATCTTTAGAATTTTTTTTCATTTGAAATTTGGATGTCAAATATGAACACTAAATAATAATTTGACAAAAAAATATGTAATTTTTAATAATCATAAACATACATAATTGCAGCCTTATTTATTTTCTTGCCTTTTCAACCCAATGTCTTCATTTTTTTATAGCATTAACAAGTGATATACTTATCAATATATTATATAATATATATATATATAATTATTAACATATCAATAAAATATATTAAAAATTTACAGCTTAAAACAAAAACCGGTTTCCGGGATCTTCTGGCCAAATTTAAGTTTTTTACATAATAATAACATTAACCTATAACATATAGACTATAATTAGTGAAATATTGGACCCTGTTTGCTTAAAAAAATGGGGAATTGTAGGCCGGTTAAAATAACGGTCAATTTTTAGACGGTGCCAATCTCTGCTTCACGCATACATTCTAGGAAACTTTTGATTTTACTTTTGTGTATGACTTGTATATTATATTATATTATATTATTATTATTATATATTATATTATTATTATTATATATTATATTATATTACATGTTTATATAAAAACAAATTAAAAATTAAAATTCTATAAATAAAGTTATTATTATTATCCAAAAACATTAACCTTATTCTGTAATGATTAATTTTACAATATTTTCTAAAATGCCAACAAACATTCCTCTTATAATCTCTTTCTCGTCCAAAAAACCGTCAACTAATCTATTAACCATGATTCTAGAATTCTCATATCCCATAACTCTTAATAATGATTCTGGCATAGCCTTTTGAAGGAGTAGTCTTTTTGCGGTCTCTTTAGTTTGTATTTTTTCTTCTTCTGTACGTGTAGGCCCTGATTCTTCCCATACACCATTTGGCCAAAATGAATTTTTGAAATCGTCAATCATTGATGCTACATTCTCTTCAGTTGTCAATTTATGAATATTTATTAGAAATGATTGTCTGATGGCATCAGTATAAGATCTTCTGACCACTTCTCGCAAAACCGAAAGTACTGTTTTACGAAGATGCCATTGTGATTTCATTGATAAATCAAATATTTCTTCGACTATCGCAAACACTGTGTCGATCAGTATATCAATTTCTTGTCCTGTCAAAACTTTGTTTGGTCTATTGGTTTTAGATTTGGATGCTGAGTTATTTTTAGAATGATTATCGTCTTCGTATGATGAAATATGTGAACTATCGTTACTTCTTGTTGTTATTCTATTTGAATCATTTGAATCATTTGAATTGATTTGGCCTGAAAATGAGTCGTTCATTGAGCTGGTAGGTGTCACAGAAACCCACGATGACGCATTACTATCAACACTAGGTTTTGCCGAATGTGCTATTTTCTTAAATTTAAATATTTCATCCGATCGTTCTGTCAATCCATTTTCAATAGGCAAAGATGGCAATAGTCTTTCAAAATTTTCTATCGTTTTTTTAGGTGGATCTGATAGTAGCGGTGGTTGTGATAATTGTGATAACGACGGTTCTATTGGTTTCCTGGATGTAATTTCCGAAAAACTTTTTTGTAATGAAAAATCAAAACCAAATTTTTTCTTTTCCAAAGAGTTTCTTCTATTACCGCCGCCATCCGTTATTTGTAGATTATTGGCAATATTATTAACTCCTGCAACGAGATTTACCATGGACATTGATTTTGGAATTGATAAAATTGAAAGACCTCTGGCTCTCTTGGATTTTGGTAAAGACAATCCTTCATTGGGAAGACCATCCCTTTTCATAAATTTCTGGAGTGGATCACTCTTGGCCAAAGTGCTATCACTCAACAAAATATTTAAATATCTTTGCAAATCTTGACATGCATCATAATTTTTCTTTAACATTAAACGAGGCATGGTGACTTTCTCGGCTTTTGGGAATTGGTTTACCAATGCAATATGCATAGCTTCAAAATCTGCAAAACTACGTGTCATTATCCATCCGGTAGAACCAGGTTGTTCCACTTCTATCATGTATGCAAGGTTTTTTTTAGAATAAATAATGTTATTGAATCTTGATTCAGAGACCTCGCACATTTTTATACTGACACCAGTAAGATCCATCCTCGTATTTGCCGATCTAAAGTGAACAGAATTTGTTTCTGGATCACTATCATATAATTTTTCCGTATACTTTTCATCTGAATTTTCAATTAATGGATCTTCTACTGAATATGATCTGGTTATTGATTCATCAGGAGTTGAATACAAATAATTTATTTTATTACCGTCGTCACTACCACCATCATCATAATCATCGTCATAATCACCATTATAATTATTGTAACTATTATAATTATTGTTGTTATTATTGTTTTTATTGCCATTATTATCATTATTATTTTCATGACCATTATTATCATTACTATCATTTTCATAATCATTATTATCATTTTCATGATCATTATTATCACTATTATCATTTTCATGATCATTATTATTGTCACGATCACTAACAACAACATTATCATCAACATTATCATCAACATCAACATTATAAGCCATTGTATTATACTCTAAAGTTTCTTCGTTAGTGCTTTTCAAAATTGATAAAGAATCATTGATTGTGCTGTATCGTTTGGAAGATGAATTGTCGTTTTCAGTTAAACCATTGTGGTTGTCTTTTGCTGACGATGAACTTGAATTTTTTTCATGATATGGATTATTAAATATTATTTCTTGCGATTCTTTTTCAGTTTCAATGGGTTTTCCTGAAAATCCATTTTCACCATTTTCATTCATTTTAAACAAATTTTCTTCTTTTGTTGGTGATTCTATTTCTATTTTATCAAAGTAATTATTACTATTACCATTGCCATCATTGCCAACATTATCACTATTGTCGTCATCATTATTATTATTATTATCATCATCATCGTCATCGCCACCATTTTTATTTTTTTGTTTAGGTTCATCTTCATAAATCAAGAAACTCATATCTTCACCTTGACCTTTCATATCTTCAATAAAATCATCAAAGTACTTTTCTTCCAAAACATTAAAAACGTATTCTTGTAAAGAAATAAAACAATTGAAGCCTGGAGCTTTAGTTATCTCATTAATACATTGCTTAATTAACTTATCATTTGTCACTTTAACTGGGTAAGTGGCAGCCTCGCCAAAATATGTTTTAAATATGCCAATAGCGTCTTCTTGGATCAGGCTAGTATCTATTTCATTGGATGCAATTTTTTTAAATGAGTCTACCTGAAGCCAAAACCTAAGTAAATTTGCGGCTTCTCTTTCCTCAAGAAATGCCATAAATTCAGCAAAAATCTCTGATTTACGATTAAGGACTGATTGTAAATTTTTGAATCTTGCTGATGTCATATCAATTGAATTTCGTGAAGATCTGGATCTGTTATTGATGCCATTAATATTATAACCATTAATAATATTATTATCAATATTATTATAGCTATAGTTATAAATATCATTATTGTAGTTATAGTTATTATAACTATCGAAATTATTGAATTTGTTATCAGTATTAGAATAATGAGATAAATTTTGTTGTTGCTGTTGAAGTCGAGACGATGGTAACGATGATAAATCATTCGTGTGTGAATAAATAGATTGTCCTTGTTCGTTATTAGATGATGGGCTGGTGTCAACAGCAGAAGCGGCGGTGGTAGTAATGGGATCTTGCAATAATTTTTCAGCAAGACCAGCCACTTCCTCTTCTAAAGAGGAAGCTAACTGTTGGAAAAAAGTACCTTCATCTTCATTAGAACCCTCATCTGAAAGATAGTCAACTATGGTACAATTTAACCAATCTGGATCGCTGATTGTATCAAGTAGTGGTGAAAAAATATTATTTGTCCATAACTCAGTAAGGAAAGCCATTAATATTTGACTTTGAGACTCGGATGATGGTAGGAAACGTGATAATATTAGACGTGATAACGAACGTAAATTTTGAGTTTGAATTTGTTTACTTGTTGTGAAAGCCAATGGAGATGATTGGTTTTTATCACAGTAAACATCTAAAGATTCATTTGCAGCAATAAATTTTCTATATTCACGCTATTTATTTTTTTAAATATAATATTTAAATTTGTTAATAATAATTAATAATTTACACCTTTTAAGAATCAAATATATATCTATATATATATATTAATTACTTACTAAATGAACAATAAAAGAGTTTGCGATTGTATAACTTGACATTACACCTAATTCAATTTTATCTAAATTTTTAAGGCATAAAGATAAATTTATTGCCATAGAATTCATTGAATTCCTTATGTTTTTTGACAACTCTTTTTCATTATTTTCATCGATTGGCTCACAATAAACATCTATTATGTCACGCATAATGTAATCAAAAGTTTTATTTAGCACTTTATCAATTTTTGGTGAAATTGAAAGTATTGTTATCGTTGATTTTGATTCTGATTTTGATTCTAATTCCTAAAAATTTTATTATTTGGAGAAGCAAAGTTTTTTTTTTAAGTATATATAAAATATAAATTTATCTCGGTAAAAAAAAATTTTTTGTTACCATTGATGATACTTTATTAATATTTTTATTATCTATAAACGGATTGTTTTTCTGTTCTAAGGCTTTTACATCAATTTTTAAAGTGTAAATTCTAATCATATACCCAACTCCACAACCCAGTATCAATACCAGTATGGATGACTTTTGTATGAAACTCCATGTAAACAATATTAATAAATACATGCCAAAAACTAATTTTGGTGAAGTTGTAAAGAGTACTTTAATTAACTCTAAAAAATCTGTTTCGCCATCATTATTGTTGGATGTTGATTGTGTTGATTGTGTTGATTGTTCTGAAATCTTTGTATGTTTGCTTTCAGTCGATGAAATCTGGTTGTCATTCTCATGTTTTATGATAGCGGCAGTAGTTTCTGCTATTGTTGTTTCTGTGTTGCCTACTTCTTTTGAAGAGGATTTAGATTCTTGAGTTGGTAGGTGATTTTCTATTGAATCAATAACATCAACAACTGATGTATTATTATTATGATTAGTGGGAATTATATTTGCTAGATTTGTTTCTGCGTTCATAATTTCAGGATTTTTTATTTCTTCTGATTACGTAAAAATAGAACATTAAATTTACCCAGAAAATCTTACTAAAAAAAGATAAAAAAATTTTACTCCTGGTACGTACAACTCGAATCTTATTATTTTGATGTTGAACAATTATAATTACATGATTGACCTGAATTTTGCCAATGTTACATATTCATTCATCTTGCTTCTGAAGAGAAAAAAAAGTTCTTTAAAAGTTTTTCTTTATGAGAATAATAAAACGATAACGAATCGATTAATGAAGCAATGGAAGTGATAATGAATCGAGCGATAAAATGAATCAAGTAGTGATATTTGATGGATGATCCGTCTATGAATAGTGAATTTTAATTACTATTGGTGATCATGTCACGAAAACGACTAATCGAGTACCTTTGCATAAAAGGTTGTACTGTTTCATTATATAAATTATACGCAATGGGAAAAAATACAAAAATTTTTTTTCTTGTTTGACGAGAGTTTACTATGAATGGAAAGGTGCGTGTAACACATGCACATGCTCTCTACATAAAGCTACGGCCACTCAAAAGACTCGATAGTACCTTATGAGGGTGTTGGCTAGAGAGATTCATGAAAAACCATTTCATAGAAAATTAATACTAATTATGTCAAAAATTTACCATCGACACAAAAAAAAAGAAAAAAGTAAGCATTTCATACTATCAGATAGAAAAACCACATATTACCATCAATCTTTTAATTCTATATAGAGCAGCAGAGAAATGTCTGCTTTAGACGCCTAAAAGAATTTCTTTATTATCTAAATCTTTTATTTATATGAAATAGATGGCACCATTGTGATTTTGGTTTTTTGGTTTTATTTGTTTATTAGTTTCCACTTTAATATTTAAGAACTAGGGCGCAAATATATATCATCTATAAACTAAGTGTAAACGATCTTTAGGACATTCTTGAATTTGTTTTCTTGAGGTGGTGAGGGTTTGTGTGTACGACCTTAAGCTCCTTTACGCGTCCATACTTTTATTAATTTCTAAAAAAGCATCTTCGGTGGTATGTGTATGAAACAAAGGAAAATGAGAGTCCTCTAGAAGGGAATTATATGAGCAAGTATTATCAGCGCAAGTGAAATTCAAGAGCCTTTTTGGTCTTTTTCTTGTTAATCATCATTCTCTTTAAGTTTTGTCACCACTACTACTGTTAATTTGGAATATTTGCCAAATGAAATAATTTTCATGATTGTTGGATGAACAGTATATCAAAAAGATTTCTTATATGATTCCTATTAATTCAAATATAACGATAATAATTTAAATTATAACATGATCAAAAAACAATTGAATAATATGTTTTTTCCTACTGATAATTATACAAACCTTACAAATGATAATATTACGCTAAATATCGCAAGATACGTTTGAACCATTTGATGATTCAGATGAAGCATCATCGTCGTCGTACAGTCAAACCTTGTCACAGCGGATTATAATTAAATTCTTGTCATAGCGGATTTTTAAAATTCTGCTTCACATATAAAAACATATAAAACCCCGCTGTGGCAAGATTAGTAATCTTGGCACAACGGATTTTAAATAAAATTTTCTTATATGTCCCGTTCATCCGCTGTGACAAGGGTTGACTGTATATGATATCTCAAATGGGCATGGACAATAGAAAGGGAGTCAACGTCAAAATCATGATTTTGAGTTGATACCACATATATACGTGAATTGTCGCAAGGAACAACTTTAGCTTAGAAACTATGCCTACTTAAAAATTTTGAGAAATTTTCTGTTTAGTTTTTTTAAAAATAGTAAACAAGACATCGCAATAGAAACAAGGATAATTGCAAAGGTCATGGTTATGAGTTAACACAACATTTCTATATGCAATTCATCACAACAATTAATTTTAGCTTAATAACCATGTCCATTTAATAAAATTCCGAGATATTTTCCGTTAAAGGCAAATCGCGATTTTGACGTTGACCCCTTTCTATTCTTTCTCTAGGAAACCGGTTGATCGGTTGAATGTACAAATGTTTTCCAAAACCAACATTATTATATTCGTTTATGTGATATGAAAATGCAAGTATAAGAAACTCTAAATAAATTATTTTTTAAATTCATTATATTATTTACAATGATGGCTATTGATTTTGACTTATCCTATATTTATAAATGGAAAAAAAATTAATGATAATAATGATACAGCTCACTTTCTCTATTTGACTTAGGAAAATTTTCTATTATAAAGAGAATCTGTTATAGACAGTAATATAGACATATAAATTGGCTATTTTTATTAAAATTATTTCAAAGGAATAAAAATTATTAAGCTGAAATGTCATAACAATATGATGATCTTGTACAAAAGTTGAAAATACACATATTGTATGATTTCGGAAGAAACTTGCAACATTTGGAAAAAATTAAGCCCAAAGAAGTGAATCCTAATCTTTCCTTAAATCTGTAATAGTAACATTTTATTATTTGGCGTCACGTAATGTTTATTAATTTTGAACAATATATAAATTGTTACTTGTACATGGATTTTGTTAAACAGCCATATATATTTTATTAGAATAAAGTAAAAATAATCGGAAAAATTCCAGAATGCCTAATAATAACATATTGTATGTAAATAAATTTTCCGACGACTAACAGTATTGCATATTAAACGATAGGCAATAAATCACCAATCAGAAGTCTTCTATATTTTGAAATAATTTGATCTATTTTAACCATGATCCATGCAGAAATGGATTTTACATACTCATTTGGATTATTTTCAAATAAATTTGTAACCCATTGGTTTGTTTCAATCAAATCTTTACTAAAAAGCGTTGCTAATTCTTGTTCTGGAAGCGCCTTTAGTATTACACTTATGCCGAAAAGTAATGATGATACAACAGCTACATCATCAAAATATCTTAAAGACAGTATCATATCCCAAAATTCTTTTGAAATTTCTAAATTTTCAACTGTGTTTGCTAATAAAAAAAAAAATTAATTGTTTTTTAAGATACTGATAATATATACATTAATTGCTCAATTACCCAATTACTCAATTAATTTAAATGAGACTCACTTGAACATTGAACAATAGTAGCCAAAGTTGTTATATATTTACTTAGTAAAATAGGCTCATACATACCTTTATTGATAGTATCACTATACAATATAGTAATATTTTTTTTTAATACATAATACTTTGCATATAGATAAAATAAATAAATATTTAAAGAAATAAAAATTTTACCGATTACGAATCCAATTCCAAAATCCAGCTGATAATGGAAAGAAAAATGGTTTTGCGGCAAATTCATTAAACCTGTTGACTTTTATTGAACTTGAATGAATGGATTGGACCATTGGTTTTCTTGAAAATCGATTTACTTTGTTATTACTGGATGGTGATGGTTCTTTTGACGTTTCAATTGCGTTAACACTTAAACCGCTAGTTTGTTTTGATAATAAATCAATAATTGAACTTTCTCTCCTGACCTTTGAATAATTTACATAACGTTATTATAAATATAATCCCAAATATAAAATTTTATTTTTATAGACTATACCTCAATTTCTTCTGGTTGTTCTATTCCTGCTAATTCTTTAGCTCCCGATGCCAATACTGATAACATTGTAATTTTTTCAGAGAGAGAATATCTTTTTTCAAAAAATTCTTTAATAATATACCTATAGTGACATCAATTTGAATTTTATCATTATTGAAATAACAATGGTGATAATGGTAATGTGGTAATGTGATAATGACGTTAACCTACAATACAGTATTTTTTGGACTTCCAACTACGAGTGCAGTTAATGCCGCATGTCTTTTTTCTTCAAATTCTTTCAATTCAAATGTATTATTTATTGAAATAAGAACTCTGGCCAACTCATTAGCATTTTCATCTTTAATTTAAAAAAAAACCAAATATTGTCATTGATTAAATTAATTAAAAGCATCTTGATTATTAATATATCAATATATTCATTTTAATACCTAATTCCGTTCCAAAATTGGTTTTTAGTCTAATCAATTTTTCAGCTGTATTCATAGCAATTTCAATCTTTTCAGGATCTTCAGCTGCTTTTAACATTTTAATCAAGTCTATAATATATCTATTAAACAAAAATATATTCAGCATCATATATAAAAAAAAAAAGATTCTCTACTATTTTTTTTTAAAAAAATACATACACAGGAGGCAAAGTATTTTTTGGCTTTGTTGCTAAAGTATCATAATCTTCTTCATTTTCTTCAAAATCGCTTTCATCCATTGGATATGGTTCAAAGTCATCTTCATCATCAGAATCTCCAACCAGTTTAGTTTCATCCTCATCAATAACTGTAATTTTTTAAATTTTAAAATAGGTAATTAATTGATTCAATAAAAATATATAATTCTTAAAAATAAGATTTACCATTTGATGATTGATCAAAATCTTCTTCAAAAGAATTAGAAATGACAGAAATGGATTGTGAATTATTTTCATCATTAATGTCTTTATTCCTTTTAAATGACCTGTTCTCTGTATTAAATATGATATATGATAAATCTTGCTGAAAAAATAACCAAATTGACTTTTTTTTTTTTTCCATACCATTATCATCATCATCATCATCTTCTTCTTCTTCTTCTTCTTCTTCAGTATTAATAATCAGCAAATTATTTAATCCGTCCTTTGCATCAACCAATTGTCTTAATGTTTTAACTTCTTCATCTTGAGGATCTAACTTGAAATCCAACACGTCATCATTTTCATCAAGTAACCATGAAAGCATCTCAACAGTAACCTGATGAATTTAAAAGTAATATCTTTCACAAAATTGTATATTTTACAGATGTGAAAATCAAATCATGACTAACCATTGCAATTTTACGTGTTCTATCAAAAGAACTTTTCATCCATTGTGTTGTGCCAACACCTATGTCTTTATAAATGTTTATCTTTAATAATATCTCTTTTGGAAGATATCCAAATATAATAAGAATAGCACTAGTGACATCTAACATAATAAATAGTAATTAATAGAATTCTTTGTTTACTTTTTTATTGCTAAATATGTAAATGATTTAACATACAAAGTTGTAATGAATTTGATGCATGCTTGACAAATGTAGTGTCTGACCAAGTTGTAGTAAGTGATTTCAAGACTTGTGTGAGATCTATTTTATTAAATTAAAATAAATAAATAAACATTTTTAAATAACTGTAAAAGTGAATTTTTTTCAATATAAAAAAATTAACCATCATCTGGACCCAATTTCAAGTTAATTTTTTTTGCATTATTCAAGATAATTGAATCATGATTTTCTTGCAGAGATCCCCAACTGATAAAACAACATAGAACTCTGATAATACTAGTAGGAAAAACTTTCCCACAAATAAAAAATTTGTTTTTAATCAGGTATTTAGCTTTCAAATTCTTATTACTAATTAGAATCTGCAGCAATCTAGAAACTTTTTGAATTAAATGTCGAGACTGATCTTGAATAAAATTATTATTGGAAATTTTGTAAAGATCCCTATTTTGTGCATGAAGTAAAAGTTTAGATAGAAATATTTCAAGAGTATGTGATGGGAATGCATCAATTATATTTTGCCATAAATTATAATAAGTATATGATATTCTATTATCATCCAAATGTTTCATTAATATTGGATATATGATTTGAATAATAATTTCTGTTTTTAAAAATTTATACAAACAAAAAATTTAATAATAATAATAATAATAATAATAATAATAATAATAATAACAACAACATTCAAAGTAAAAAAGGGAACCTGATTGTCCAATTCTACATATTTTTGATAATAACTCCCCACAAGCAAATGTAAGGTTTTTGAAATCATTTTCATTTCCTATGAAATTATTTTAGAGATAAAATAAATATATTATTATTATTAATTAATTTAATATATATATATATATAAATATAATACATGCCTTGTGATCTTTCTTTATCACAATAATTTAAAATCATTTTTTCACAATCTACAATAAGCTTACTCAAAAAATTTCTTGTGATATTTTTTCAAACAAATCATTAAAGCTAATCAATTCATAAAGATATTAAAATTTTTAAAAATAAAAATAAAAAACAATAGGATACAAATTATTAAAAAAATCATCATAATCATCTAATTCTTTATTATGTTGTAAATTTTGAATTAATAAATTAGCATTTGCACATCTATCAGGAATTGAACATATTAATGATATAAATTCTTTCCATTCATAAAATCTATCATTTTGATCTGCATCTTTATTATCTATAATTACATCAAAAAAGTCTTGTAAAAAATAATTCTTCAATAATGTATACAAGAATTTCTGATATTTTTTAAGCATGTATAATTGTTGTTGTTTAGCATCTTGAGAAATTAGAGGATCTGGTGGTTGGACAGTCAAATGAGTAACCAGAATTTGTAATGATTTTTTTGCTTTTAATTTCTTCTGAAAATTCTTAACACCTGAAGGAACAAAATCTTCAATCACACATTTTGGATGGTCCATTATTTTTTAAGAATTAATTTAGTGCAACATTTTTCGGTGCAACACTAAATTCCTCCAAACTTACATCCAAAAAAAAACAAAAAGAGATCCAGAAAGATTTAGCAAAATAACTGGTCACTCATTATATGATATTTTACTCATTATTTGTAAAGTTACTTTATTAACTTTAATATTTTTCTTGCACGAGTTAATTTTTAAAAATGGTTTTTGTTTAAAGTATATGATATATTTATTATAAATATTATAAAATGAAAAAAATAAATATTATTATCTATATTTAAAATATCTAAAGTATTTATATTGATTATTATTAAACACATAATTTACAAGTAAATAAAAAAGGATAAATATTCTTAATATAAAAATAAAATATTTAATATTTAATTTATGATTTTTGACTTGCTATTTCACTGGACTTATCAACAAGTTGTTTGGCAGTTCTTGCCACAACAATTACAGGAAAAATATAAACAGTATAAAGTAAAGAAGTCACCACCGAGAAAAGAATTGTGATATCGTCGTATACTATTTATTATTACATAAAAATGTAATAAAGAAATACTTTAGTATGTAATTATCATTATTATTATTGGTGTGAATTTTCTTAAAATGAAAAAAAACTCACCCCTGTCAAAAATAATATTTGGAAGAGAATTTAATGGAAGAGATTTTGGATCATAGAATAGAGTTACTCGTGTCTTTTATATATGTTTTATGTAGTAAATAATATATAAAGGATTGTAAAAAAAAATTTTTTAATAATGAAAAAAATCAAATTGACAAATATATAATTTATATTTATATAACTCACCTTTTCTTTTTCATCCCTGGAAAAAATATAAATCAATATGATTAATATAAATTGATATAATATAAAAATTATTAAATTATTAAATAAAATGTAAATTATATTTACGATTTCTCTATGATTTGACTTTTGATAACCTTGATTTCATTATCTTGTTCAGTCATTTTAGTTGATAATGTACAAATTAACTTTTCAACCTTATTGAGATTCTCTACTTGTTTTTTTTGTGTTTCCATCATAGCTTCAAATGATGGAATTATTGCAAGTTTGTCAGATTGTTCTTTGACAGTAGATTCAAGTACAACATTAAGTGATAGGAGTGATTTGTTGGAAATTCTAAGATCAAGAAACTATAACATATATATTAATATATTAGACTATCAAATTTATTATAATAATGATGATAAAGTAATAAAATATATAATATATTATTACCTTTCTCTGAACCCTTGGATCAGATGATAAACTCATTAATTCATCAAGCTCAGCCTGATCATTATCATTATCATTAGATTCATCATTATCATTATCATCATCATCACCAACTTCATCATTATAATCCTCTTCATATTCATCGTCGTCATTTCTTGAGTCAGGGAAATTGTTAGCGTTATTTAATTGTGCTGAAAGTGCCACTTTTCTTGGCTTAACAGCTTCAGTTGTTCTTGGTTGTGCTACATTATCGCCAATATCCATCATAGCACTGGCTGCAATTCTAGGCTTAGGTGATCTGGCTTCACTATATAAAGAAGGTTGCTGATGTTGATTGGGATAATAATTGTGGTTATTTTCATAGGTTGTGGCGGTTGGTACACGGGGAGGAAAGTTAAATGTTTGTTTTCGTTGTGGATTGTATACTTGAGGACCTGGGTCACTATAATTTGTTAATTCAGTACGAGTGTCATGTGGACGATATGTAACATCAGACCAAGCTCTAGGAGAAGCATTTGATGGTTTGGTGGCAAATCTAGAATTGATTTGGTTATATTGTGAATTATTATTATAATAACTTTCATTATGTTGATATTGAGGTTGTTGATATTGATGGGGAGGAGGCTGATATTGATGTTGGTTTTGGAACTTTTGATGATGTTGTTGTGGTTGATGCTGTGGAGAAAACTCTGTTGAATTAAATTCGATAACAGAATTTGCTTTAACTTTTGGTTTTGGAAACTCTTTTTTATAAACCACTTCAGAACGACTTTTTGATAACAAATGATTTTGGTTTTTCGCCTGATTGAACGCAAAACCTGCTGCGTCAATAATTGATTTCGTTTCATCTTTTGTATTTTGTCTTGGACTGTTTTCAACTCCCATTTTTTTAAAAATTTTCTTTATAATGAAATTTATATTAATATGAAAGAAAGAAATTTTATTTTTTGTCAACTAATAATAATGCGAAGATAAAATTATTATTTTTATTCTGTGTAACAATTTCATGTTTTTATGTAGAAATCTTTTTAAGTAAATTTAGGAGAAAATTTACTTTTTAAATCCAGATAATGCACAATTTTTTTTACATTGTTAGGTACGCACGCGCGCCGCCGGAGGCATAAAAAATAACTTTCTATTTTGATACAACCAAAAAATTACTTGCAGCCATTTTTCATTTTACAATGATAAAAAATTGACGGATTTGTTTTGAGAATTTTATCATTAGATGAGAAACATCATGATGGGCAAAGCAAGCATTTGTTCGGGAAATCATGTTTGCTTTTAGTCGTACCATAAATATTTTAGATGATAATAATTTTTAAGTTTTCGCCAAACTGTAGCCCAAAATTGGCAGACTAGCCTCAAGAGCTTCCATCTTCAATTGTGAAATGTCCATGGTGAGCGAGGAAAATATTCATTGGAAATCATATCTGTTTTTTATTTTTACATGACGATAGTCCGTTTTCAACTACCAGCGGTATCAGGATCGGCAGATTTGCCTTAGGAGCATTGAACTTGAATCAAGATGAGAAATAGTATGTGAGTGGGGAGGATAAATAAATATTTGTAATGTTTTCCTTTATTCACATTGTAATATTCTCTGAATTTATTTATCAATGCTATATAATACTGATTATTATACAAACAATCGTATTGATTTGTCATCAACGCCAACTAATAATAATAATAAGGCTGACGTCGCAAAATTTTCAGGGCTAAAAATTTTTGTTCCTCTTGATCAAATTAAAGGTGTGTTGTTTTTTCAAAAAATCTTTCTCTATCGCTTTATCAATTCTGCTACGCTCGTTTTTGTTTTCATTTTTTTTTATAACTGAACTCAAAAATATTAATAATACGTTTCGTGATTTTTTATTGTTTTAAATAATTCTTAGAGGAGTGGGGAAATTAGTGAGGGAAATGTATGAAATATAGAATTAAATATTTACATCGTTTAAGAAAAATTATTAATTATCATTAAACAAATTCGTTAAAAATTATAGCAATAACTACCGGTTGTTATTTAAATCATTAGTTGATAATTGTATCAGAGCCATCGACTGCAACTCCCAAACCTAAGCCAACCAATCTACGTAAATGAAAATAACTATCACCAGTAAGAGAATTAATTTTTGTTGATATTTCTTTTAATTCTTCATAATTTTGTGGTACAAATGGAAATTCTTCTGCTGCTTTACATAAAGCGGTCGTGACATTAATAGTATTTGAGATTTTCATCATGACGGGTTCAATACCAACTTGACAGATTGCACAAAACCATGTATCAAAATTTTGGATTTCATCTTTGTTCAAATTCACACATGCACAATGATACCATTCTTTACACCTGTCGCATTGAATCATCATATTGAAATCATCTGGATTTCTACAGAAACAATAATGTCTTTCGTTTAATGGAGGTTTGTCTTCGTTATTTGCTAAATAAACATATCTGATCAACTCGAGCCATTTCTGAATAAATTCCTGGTAATTAAATTTTATAAATGGAACTTTGTGATAATTTAATAACCATATTCTTTGTGCTATTTCGTGACATAACAATTTAACGCATTGCGACCAATCATTGGATACTTTAATATAGCTAGAAAGATCCTGAATCTTTATATCAAGCCCCCCTTCTTTTATCCTATAATCAATATATTCCAATACGTGAATATGTGGTTTCTCCACTTCTTCAATATAGTTATTAATCATCATCATATCATTCATGGCGTCTTGAACAGTTTTTTGCATAGCTATGATTAATTCGTTCAAATGAAAATCCAGAATCATAAGTTGCAGGAAATGACATGGCTTATCATAACACTTACATATCTTTGATGAAAATTGAACTGCGTGTTCTAAACAAAGTATTTTTTTTGAACATTTGAAATGTAACGATGAAAGATAGCTGAATCCATTACAATAAGCACATTGCATCTCAATATCATCGTTCAGATCCTGGGCGCAAAATATTGGTTGTTGAGAAATGACCAGCTTGGTAGTAACTTCATGACGTAACTTAATTTCTTCTCTGCATATTTCAGTAAGTGGTTCCTTCAACCATTTCATAGTACCGTAATTTGAAAGATTTGCTATTCCTATTTGAAGAAGTAACTTTTCATGAGAGAAAACAGGCAATCTTTTAATATCTTTATAAAATTTAACTGAGTCGTATCCATAACCAATCCAATCAGGAAGTGCAAAATTAACCGCCTCATTAAGATTTAACTAAATAAATAAAAAAACTATTAATAATCTATAAAGTTTAATTTAAATGCTGAAATATATATATATTAAAGATTTCAAAAGTACATACACCTTGGTTAAAACCTGAATGGTAGGCTTGTGGAAAAGTGACTATAAATTGGTTTGGCCTCTGATCAATAGCATACACTTCTATGCCTTCTTCGACCAGTTTTTTTGGATTCAATATAGTGGTCAATTGTGTTAATAGATCTGGTTGATGTTGGAAAAGTTCAGGTAAAAGTTTTTTGGCAGCGAGTTCAAATTTTGAAGCATTTGATGATGGAATTCCATACCAAGTTTTGGTTGCCCCCCAGTGCATATAATTAATACTATAGGTGTAATGATCTTCCACATGCCAACAAAAAGCCGAAAATATCATCCCAACGTAAACCCATGGAAGCATCATTCCTGGAATGGCGGGTGTTATATGATGAAGTAAAGATCCTGGTAATCTTGGAAGATTTTTAAGATTCCAAACACAGTTTTTGTATGAATTATTTAAATCTCTTTCACTACAAGGAAATCCACTATATAATTAATGAATAAATTATTTTATTTTAATATAATTAATAATAATAAAAATAAAATAAAATAAAAAATAAAAAAAAGTTTACCTTCCATAATCAGTAGAATTTACATCAGCTCCATAATAAACTTCTGTATCATCATCTACTTTATGAGCTAACCTCCAAAATTCCGATTCGATATAATCTTCAATTGATATACCTGGTGGAAGTGGATATTCTTCAAGATAATCTTCCTCAAATTTATCAGCCAGTTTCTGAAACTCACCCAATGTAAATTCTTCGCCAGCCTCAAAACCAAACTCGATTCCGGTCATAAGCAAGCAAGTGGGACAATACCATTTCGAATTTTTATGCAAGGTTGTTCTTTTGATTTTAAGACATTCAGGATGATAATATTTATTACAATCGCCACTACAATGCAATAATCCATCAATTTCCGATGAAGTATTGCCACATTCTTCACATGTATTATGTACTTGATTTTTATCCATCAATTCATTTTCATCGTCAATGTCAAATTGATTTCTATTTGGTTTTAGATGTTCTTGTTTTGAATTGGCCACATACCTTTCATATGGCTCGATAAACTCATAATAACGTTCTTTGACTGTTTTAGATGCTGATGTGCATGTCTTGGAATAACCTCCTTCTTTAATTTCTCTAGCAACTTCTGCCCATTGTTTATTTTTCCCAATCTGAAATAATAAAGTGAGTGATAAATGAGAGAAATGACTTAATAATGGTTAATTAAAAATTGAAAATTGAAATTTTTTTATTTTACGATTTACCACCTCCAATGGCCCTCCTCTATCATAGACCGCTCTGGCAAGTTTATGTAAATCAATGGGTGTTTTATCTAATTGAGGCAATTTTGTAAACGGTCGACCTTGTTGGTCATGAAAAAGTTGTAGTTGTTCAATATAATTTAACTTTGCTCTAGTTTCTCCCTCCATCATATTAACTTTTTGTATACGAGTCTTAAATTTAAATGTCTAAATAAAGATATATTAGAGTTTATGAAAGTTGGAATTCAAAAATTTTTAGAATTAAGTATTAATTTATAATAATTTACTTCAATGTCTAATGAGCAACCAGGAATCCAACCCTCTGGTGGAATTATTTTGATTATTCCATAATTCTTTCCTTCGTTAGAAATACTAGTAATATATTTATAGGGGTCTTTGAATTCTTTCCAGGTTGGATAATAAGTTTTACCTTCGGGAAGATTATAAAGTCGTGTTGATTTTATATCATCATGATATTTATAATTTGTTCTAACAGTAGAATAATCAAATTTTATATTTTTATTATTTTTAGTTCTTAGAGATCTAGTTTCCATCTTTTATTTTATTGGTAATGGTAACGGTGGAACTACAAAGTGCATTTGGTGAGTGTAATGAATATCAAATTTGTAAAAAAAAAATTTTTTTATATCAAAAAATTTCCATCTTAAATTTATAAATTAGAAAAAATATTTTGATCAAAATTACAACAAGTATATGAATTTGTTTTATATTTGATTTCTTAAACATTTGTATTTGACTTAAATAACTTCAAATAAATCATAATGCATACACATCATATAGCGTTAGATTATATCTTGCATACCAGGTTATGTCTACAAATTTCAGATAGATGCCATTGTATTTTTTTTACTCCTTTAAATTTTAAAAATATATATGGAAAAATGGTCCATCCATACCGTGAAAAAAAAAGTAATTTTGAGTTAATACCAATATATGCAACTTTTTACGTAGAATGTGATTGGGATTGTGAAGACATATATTACTTTGCTTGGTGAAAATTGTCTTCGAACCAATAGTAATCTCCATATTTTCAATTTTAGAGTATATGGCTCTTTTCTAATGAAATTTCCTTTTTGATTGAATACAGTAATGAAATTTAAAAGGTTTTATTTATTATTTATTATATATTTGCGATTAATCCAACTGGAATTACAAAAAAATACAATACAATTCGAAAAATTCAAAATTACTAGAAAAAATAAACCAACGAATTAATCGATGTCATAATTATCTATTATTGTTGCGACTACTATTTAAAAGTTGACTTATTTGGTTTATGGCATTTTGGATATTTCGAAGTTGCAATTCTATGTGGACAAGTAGTTGTTCGTTATTGTTTTGGTCAATGGTGATAATAGAATTAATAGAATTTTGAAAATAATCATTTTGATAGGAACCTTCCCTGATCCCGAAAGGATTATTTGGGTGATTAATGTTCGTAGCAGTAATTGTATTCCGATAAATGATATCATTGTGACTAGAATTTTGATTGAAATCATATTAGTCGAACGATTTGTCACATTAACTAGAATTGAATAAAAAATATATTAATTAGTACGTGCAGCAATTTTCCCACGACATGCATCTAACCTTTGATGCTTGTTGGACAATTCTGATATGGATAGTGCACAATGTTTCTCTACCAAATCACACACACTTGGATGAAATTGCTCATTTCTTCATGCATTTGTCCAGGTATAGGAGGAAGTAGTGTTGGTTTCCAAAACTAAAGAGTTTCGCAACTGTGCAAAAGTCAAATAGGAGGAATTTCTGATTAATTTGATATTATGATGATATGGAATACCATCACATTCTACTACAATCCATTTAATATTTTCTTGTGTGAAGGCGAACCTTTTCAACATATTAATATAGAATTGAATTAGGATTGTCATTAAACATCATATCAGCTCATTTGGTTTTAGGCCCTTTTTCAATCCTACATCTTATTGTGTATGTAACTTAATGATGTATGACGAAACTTTTGACTTTAGTCATTGACGTAATTAAAGTATTGACTAAAGGTAGTTTCTCACCAGGACATTTCAACTTGACGTAAGTAAAACCACTTGATGTAATTAAAAACACTTGACGTAAGTAAAAGTGCAGCAATAATGATAATGATAAATGGGATTCCAAATTGTGTCCCAGGGATGAATAAAGAATTATTATATCATTGTATGCATATTGCAATGATACAAGAAGAATAATTATCATGGGAAGTTTACAAATATTATAATTCAAATTAGAACTTTTACTTGATTAAGCTATTTATTTTTTCCGTATATTTTCTTTCAAAATAAAAATGCCTCTTCTTTTTTACAAATTAAAAGCATTATTTTATTATTACATTTTGTAAAATGTAAATGTTTTTTCGAATTTTTGACTTTGAAGTTAGCTACATACGCAATAATACCAATAATATGCTTGAGCTGTCTTTAGTTTCTGAGTTTGAAGAAACATATATTGATCAATATGTGTACTTAGAGCAACCTTTACATAACACATAAGACAGGTTTTGGTTAAGGTTGCTTGCCGAAACTCCTCCAGAAATCAATCAGCAGGGTTTCGGCAGGTTACACATCAATTGTTTATTAGAGTTTCGGCAGAGTTTCGCATTTTGAGGTTTCGCCATTTCAACAGGATTTTTGATAAGATTTAATATAGTTTTGCCACGGTTTCAGCAATTACTAAGGAGGTTTCGCCCACAACCTTAGTTTTGGTACATATTTTTGTAAGTTTTAATTTTGTTTTCTATTTTTATCACTTTTAAATTTTCAAAGAATTTCTTTTATTATTGAATCATGATCGTTCTTCAAATAAAAAATGTTGTGCGAAAAAACAAGAAAATTAAATGTATTATTTATTAGATTAATAAGCAAAAAAAATATTAAATTTGTATATTTCATTCTTTTC